GGGCCCGGGCATCCAAGCCCAGGCCCCGCCCCCGCCCCGCCCCTGTCCCGCCGACCCGCAACCCCGCAACCATGGTGGCGCTGAAGGGCGTCCCCGCGCTGCTGTCCCCAGAGCTGTTGTACGCGCTGGCACGGATGGGACACGGAGACGAGATTGGTGAGCCCAGCAGGGGGACGGGATCTCGGGGTCCTCTGGGCAGTCTTGGCTTGTATTTATGCCCCTGGTGGGGCGGGGGGGGGGGGCGACTTCCCCCGATGCCCCGGAAGGGCTGAGTTCGGGATGTGGAGGGTTATTGATGTGACCGCCCCCGCCGCTTTGGAGAAAGAAGTTTGCTCCCTGCGTGTTCTTCAGGAAGTGAGGCCAGGGGGCAAGTAGCCTAGACCCCCTCCTCCCGCCTTCACGCTCTTGGCGTCTGACCCAAGAGGCCACGGAGAGGAAGGTAGCCCCGGGTCTGGGCGGGGCTGCGTTCCATGCAGGCCCAGCCCTTCCCCCAACCTGGTGTCTCCGGTTAAAGGGACGGCCAAATGGGCCCGTCAGGTTTTCCATTCCAGATTTTTCTCCAGACTGCACCCGAGAGCCACTACAACTGATTTCTGGGACTGTCCCCTACAATTTCCCGTGGTTTGTTTTCCTTGGGGGTCTTGTTCAACAGTTCAGTGGCCAGAGCTGGGTTGGCACTCTGGGACAGCTGTTCAGGGTCCTCTGGGCCCTGGGGGCCTAGGCCTCAGGACAGGGTCTCCTCTCAGCCCTGCCACATTAACACTAGGGTAGTTTCTCCTTTCCTCCCTGGCAGAGGTGTCACCCCTTCCCCATACTCTGTATTTTCTACTTTGGGAACTCTGAGAGGGGGTCAGTGAGGGTGGTCTTGCCTGACTGACCTAAGATGAGAGGCTGAGCTGTCAAGTGACAGGTGAGGGTGGGATGGGGGTGAGGTGAAGAGGTGAGAGGCTAATGACTCAGTGGCTGGCCATCTGGCTATTCAGTTCTTGCAGATGTCAACTTCCCTGCCTCCTCCATCTGCCAGTGTGGGCCCGTGGAGATCCGGGCGGATGGTGAGCCCCCTCTTCCCATTGGCTGAGTTTGGGAGGTGGATGGTGGTCCTGGCTCGGAGACTCCCAGATGTCCTGGGACTCCAGGCCATCTATGCTGGCTGGCTTTGTGGTGCCCGGGAGTGAAAGTTTGGGAAGGGCTGTAGGGTGGGGGCAGCAGGTAGGCCAGGCAGGAGAGGGCAGTGTCTGAGTCTGGCCTCTGCCTTCCCAGGCCTGGACATCCCAGAGCTCCTGGAGGCCGTGCTGAAGCTGCTGCCACTGGACACCTATGTGGAAAGCCCGGTGAGGCATCTGTACCTTGCTGCTCTGAGCCTTGGTTTTCCCTTTGCCAGACTTCAAAGGACTTCTTGCCTTGGAGTGGGGGATGCCACATGTCCCTTGAGAAGCTCTAACCCTGACAAGGGGAGCTTGAACCCAATGAGGAAAGGCCTGGACTTGCTCAGGGCTGCAAAGCTGATCCCCTGTTGCTCTAGGCCGCTGTGATGGATCTGGTGCCCAGCGACAAGGAGCGGGGCCTGCAGACGCCGGTGTGGAAGGAGTACGAGTCCATCCTACTCAGGGCTGGCTGTAGGGTAAGCCTGCATCCCTATCAGTGGGGAATGGTTCAGAGACCCTCTGTTGATTCCTGGAGGCTCAGAGGAGCAAAAAACAGAGGGTCCCAAACTGTGTTCTCGCATGGCCTCTTACCTGGGTCGTGTGAGCTCTCGGGACCAACGGGAGCACCTGTGTAGTATGGCTGCCTTCTCCTCTGCCTGGAGCTTCCTATCTCCCTCCCAGAATCCTGACCTGTCTTGTCTGCCTGGGAGTCCTCACCCACCACAGCCTGTGTGAGTGGAGCCAGGGGGTCACAGCTGCTTGGCCTCCCCTCTCTGACCTCCTGTGGAAGTACTCCCTGATTCCACATTTCCCCTACCTGCGTCCTGGTCAGAGGCCTGGCTGGGTGCTACATGTTACAGTCCATACCCCACCCCTGCCCTTGAGGCAAGACACCTTTCTCCTGAGTGGCCCATTGGCAGGTCTTGGGTCAGCTCTACCTGAGAGGAGAAAACTAGGTGCTCCTGCCTTGGCAGAGACACACCTCCCATACCATGCGGCAGCTCAGAGGGACTCAAGGGTTTGCCTAGCCAACTGAATGATTCCAGGCTGGGTGGACCAAGCACAACAGGTGCCTCATCCACTATAGGCCCCCATATGGGGACGTGAGACATGCTGTATGCCCGCACCCTCTCAGACCTCAGAGTCAGAGGCTTTCCTTTGAACCCCTGCACCTCGAGAACTATTGTAATGAAGCCCAGATGGCCACACCTCCTGGTGCCCCCATCTCCTACCAGGGTGCTGAGCCACAGATGACCAGAGAATGAGGCTTCCTACAACCATGGCGTTTTGTCTTCCAGAGATCCCTGGCGAAGATAGAGAGGTTTGAGTTTTATGAGCGAGCCAAAAAGGCTTTTGCTGTTGTGGCAACTGGGTAAGTTCCAGCTGGGTCTGACTGGCTCAGATGTGTCCCTGCCCTGGGTTTTCTTGGAGATGCTTAACCCACCTTCTGCTCAGCTCTTGCCTGGCTGAGACTAGAAGTCCCACAAAGATCAGGAGAGATGAAGGTTTTGAGCAGACAGGGGTCCCTGTATCCCAAGGTAGCCAGTCCCTGGACCTTTGTCCAGCAGGTGGAATGAAAGTGGATAGGATCAGCTCTGTCCCCGACAGGGTGGAGCAGGGTCCCAGTATGCTGGCATTGGCTTGGTGTCATCTTGGCTCCTTTGCAGGGAGACGGCCCTCTACGGAAACCTTATCCTCAAGAAAGGGGTGCTTGCCCTGGCTCCCTAATCTAAGACAAACTACTTGGGTCCTGAAGAGGAATCATGAACACCCTGAACCCCGACAAGACCTCAATGAGCTTCCTAGCAGCAGCACTCAGTACTGGGTTCTGGACAGGGGCATTAGGGGGCCAGTGGTCTCAGGGTGGGCCCAGCTGATGAGCACTGGGATTCTCCCCATTTGTGAAAATGAAAAAATGTAGTCACTGATCCATGCTCAATCTAAAGACAACAGCTGTTTTCACTCACAGTCTTGTCTGGTGCTGAGCTCAAAGTATACTACTAGCTCCCCAGAGAGGGGCCTCCCACCACCTCTGATGACTCCTCAAAGGGAAATCCCCTTGGGAAATAAGGCCTCGAGCCTGGGCTGGAGCCCAGGAGACTAGAGAATCTGGGAAGTGGACAATGGCCTGGAACCTAGGGTCCTAAAGGCCCGGGCAAAGGTCTGTGGCAGTGGCAACATGCACACCACAGGAGAGCTCGAGGTGGGTGCAGTGGCTGCTCTGATGGCCGTGAGTAGGGTAAGGATTTCTGCATCATCCCCTTTGGCCTGTGGGCACTAGAATAGCCCTTGACCATCATCCTCAAGCAGGAAGGCAGGTGTCAGGGGCTGGCCTGGACATGTTGAGAGCTCAGAGGTAATGTGTCAAGGTGCTGGCAAGGATGGCACAGGGCAACCGTGGTGTAGAACTAGAGGGGCCTGGGTGTCGGCTGGCCCCCATGCCCGTGTTCAGTAGGTTGAGTGCCCACTGTGTATGCATGAGCAGCTATGCTGAGCCCAAGGATAAAGTTGGCAAGACCTGCCTGCTGCCCACTTGGAGCCTGAGCAGTCCTGGGCAGCAGGAGTGGTCACTTAGTGAATGCCTGGGCAGAGGGGCATTGGGCTTGGCCACAGACTTGGGCACCCAAGGTCTCTTTGTGTTCTCAAAGGTTTCTGCCTTTGCCCTACAGGGCACTTGTATATGCCCTTCACTGCATGTCTTCAGCTGACTCCCCACCCCATGGCTATTTCTGGTCACACAAATGCCTTTAAACATCTCTACTGAGGTTTGACATACAAGGAACAGTACACATCCAAAGTGTATGAGCTGATACATTTAGATGCAGGCAACACTGAACCACCCCCACCTTGCAGGCCAGTGAACATCTCTGCTCCCACTGACCTGCCTGCTCTCCCAGTGGGTTTGCTGGCACCTTCTAGAGTTCTCTATAATGAAGTCATACAGTGTGTACTCTCCTGTGCCAGGCTTCTTTTACTCAGGGTAGTTATTGTGGGGTTCATATGTTATATGCCATTCCTCTTTATCATTGAGCAGTGTTCCATCACATGGGCACCCTGTAGGTTTGTTTGTATGTTTGTTTTTTAGAATTATTTTATTTAACTTTATTGTTTATTTTTTATTTGACCAGAGAGGGACAGAGTGACAGAAAGAGAAAGACAGAGATAAAGTGAGAAAGCAAGCCACCAGATCTGGGCTCGAATCACAGTCAGCCATGTGGGAGTCCAATGCCCATAACCACCATGCCACCTGCTGGCCCTGACCCTGTAGTTTTTTTTTTATTTTTGGAGAGGTTTTTGCTATAGGGCGCGTGCACTCACCAGACAGACAGAGACAGAGAGACAGAAAGCGAGAAATCACCCCCCAGGGGGGATTGCCACACCACAATCCCTTCTCCTCCATTCTCCTCTCGGGATCTTGAGCACGCACACACACGCGCCCGGCATGAGTTTAAGCCACCGGGTCAGGGACTCAAACCACAGTCGACTATGTGGGAGTCCAGCGATATAGCCATTACACTAATTGCTGGTCCCCTGACCCTGTAGATTTTTATCCATTCAGTGAGGGTGGGCATTAGGTTGTTTTGGCTATTACAAACAAAGCTGTGATGAACCTGCATGTACTAGTCCCTGTAGACATGTGATTTCATTCCTCTTGGGTAGGTGTGAATGTGATTTTTTTAAGAATAAAGCTGTGGATGGGACTGGCAAGTGGCATGGTATTTAAGGCACTGGATTCCCACATGGCTGACCATGGTTTGAGTCCCAAACCTGGCAGCTTTCTTTCTCTCTCTGTCTCTGTCTCCCTCTCTCATCAAACTGAAGAATAATAACTAAATAAAATGAAATAAATACTTCTTTTAAAAAAAAGAATAAAGCTATGGGACTAGCAGATGGCATAATAGTTATGTTGCTGGACTCCCATGTAGTCAACTGCAGTTCGAGTCCTGAACCGGGAGGCTTAAAACACACTGGGCATATGTGCGTGTTTCCAAGATCCCTAAAGGAGAATAGAGGAGAAGGGATTGCAGTGTGGCCATCCACCCCTGATGGAAGGGTGATTTCTCCCTTCTGTCTGTTTGTTTCTTTCTGGAAAAAAAAAAAAAAAAAAAGAGCAGGGACCAGCGGTTAGCGTAATGGTTATGTCACTGGACTCCCATATAGTTGACAGTAGTCTGAGTCCCAGATCTGGTGACTTGGGACTCACGCTGGGCACGTGTGCGTGAGTGCCCAGAATCCTGAGAGGAGAATGGAGGAGAAGGGATTGAGACGTGGCCGTCCCCCCTGGGGGGTGATTTCTCGCTTTCTGTCTCTCTATCTCTGTCTGTCCGGTGAGCGCACACACCCTACAGCAAAAACCTCTCCAAAAAAAGAAAAGAACAAAGTAGGGACCTGCAGGTAGTGTGGTGGTTAAGGCGCTGATGGCTTGCTTTCCCACTTTCTGTCTCTCTGGTCAAATTAAAATAAAGGAATGAATACATAAAATTAAATAAATAATTCTTTTATAAAAAAATAAGCTGCTTTCCAAAGTAGCTTAATTATTTTACATTCCCATCACTCCTTCACATGACTCAACAATTTTTTTTAAAGATTTTTCCCATAAGGTGTGTGCTCTCACCAGAGAGAGGGAAAGTGAGAAATCACCCTCCAGGGGGGATGGCTGCACCGCACCACCCCCCAGGAGGCTTCACCTTCTGGGATTTGGGGCACACACACAAGTGCCTGGTGTGATTTTCAAGCGAGGACTCAAACTATAGTCAGTCATGGGTGAGTCCAGTGCCTTAACCACCACCCCATCTGCTGGCCCCAATACTGGACAGTTCTTGATATGGTCAGTCTTTTCATTTTAGCCTCTCCAATGAGTGTGTAGTGGTGTCCCATTGGGTTATTTTTTTTTTAATTTTTTAAGAGGTTTATGCCATAGGGTGCATGTGCTTGCCAGAGAGAAAGCAAGACAGACAGAAAGAGGGAAAGTGAGAAATCATCCCTTAGTTGGAGAGGGCCACATTGCAATCCCTTTTCCTCCATTTTCCTCCTGGGATCTTGGGCACAGATGCATACGTGCCTGGCCTAAGATTCAAGCCACTGGGTCCAGGACTTGAACTGCAGTCAACCATGTGGGATTCCAGTGGCATAACCACTATGCAATCTGCTGGGCCCACCATTGGGTTTTAATTTGCATTCCCTGATGATTACTGGTATTGAGCATCTTTCCGTGGGCTTATTTGCCTTCTGTGTATTTTTAAAATTCATGATGGGGAGCATGTGTGCGTGCACAAAAGCAAAAGAAAAGTACCATCAATAAGGTCTGTCATCACAGCGTAATCCTCTTTCCTCGGCCCTCCAGCTCATCAGGATCCAGGGCACATGTGTGAATCGCTGGCATGTTTCAGGTCCACCGACCAAGCATCAGAAGCCACTGTCAACCATGTAGGGTGCACTCAACACACAGAAACCCACTCTGTAATTACACATGCCCTAGTGCACACGATATGAGAATAAACTCTGGGGATGCGTACCTGTGCTATTGCACTGGGCCTGCTGAGAGAGACTGTGCAGGAGACGGCCCAAAAAATTGGAACAGAAAGTGTGTGTCCTGGGTCTGAGTCCTACCCTACTCACCTGTGCATCTGAGCACCTGTCTATCTGAGCTCATTTATAGCTGTCCACCTGTCCCTGTGGGGATAGATATGTCTCTCCGCCTGTCTCCTTGGGCAGGGCATCCACTTGGCCCAGTTCCACTACAGTCCTATCCTTTTCAGGCCCCTTGTGTGGAACCTCAGGTCTGTTTCTCTGCTGAGACTGGTCTCAGTGGCGTCCTTATCCCAAATATGACTGCTGTCACATCCCTTGCCATCCCCATAAGCCAGAGTGAAGACCTGGAGGTGTGAGGTGTTCTGGGAACTGAGGGTCAGCTGGGTGTTGCAGAATCTGAAGGACTCTTAGAGTGCCTCAAGCGAGGCAGGTGCAGCTCCCTTCCCCCAGACGGCAGACCAGGCCCCAGGCAGACACACGCCTTCCACTTCTCTTGGCATTGTTTATTTTTCTACCTACAGAGGGAGGTCAGCAATCTTGACAGCCTTGGCCTTCAGCAGGGGTGAGAGAGTAGTCAGGGCTCCCTGAAGCCCCCCACAGGGTGGTAGATGTGGTCCTGGTCTTTCTCTGGCCCCTGGAGCACCTGGTGAAACAGCATCGCCCACAACCAGTGCCTTTCCTCACCCTGGGCTTCCTCAGGCAGGGGGTGGTACAGATGGTCATGGTCAGGCTCAGGGCCCTGCTGGGGGCTCCGGACACGAGCCAGGATGTCCTCAGTCTCCACCCAGGCCTTGGCTCCTAGGGACAGGCAGATGGAGGTGTGATCTCAGTTTCTCTCCCAAGATCTTGTCCTTCCAAGTCAACCCACAGGATGGACTCCCCTGCTGTGACCTTGCCCTGGAGATACAGGGTGCCCGCCCTGACCTGGAGACTTCTCGATGGTGACTGTGAGCTTTGACTTCAGTACAGGTAGTAGTCCCACCAGCTGGTCATCCTTCTCTGGAGGCTCCACCACTCGAGCACCCCAAACCCTGCAGCACAGGTGGCTCAGGTCTTCATGCAGGTAGAGAGAGGTAGACAAAACTGGCCCCATTGAGGAGGGTGTCCACTGTCCCCACGCAGCCACAGGCCCTGGAGATGTGATGTGGCTAGAACCCCCTCCATCCTATCACCTGCCAGAGACGCAAGGACAAGCACTGCTACTCTCTCTCAAGAGCTACAGTGATGGGTGGCCTCCACAGCCCCCCAGTCAGCAGTTCCCAGCACATCTCTGAGCCACTGCGGGGTGGGAGGATGGAAAAGTTTGAGCCTCCATTGAGTAGCATCCCTGAGAACAAAGGGAAGTGAGAAAATATTCCAGTCCAGAGCCACTTACTTCTCAGTGTCCTGCACAGGGGCCTCGTGTTTGCCTTTGATCTAGACAGGGACATAGGAGAGTGAGAGTCACAGGCATGAGATTAGCCAAGTCCATAAGAGGCCCAAGGTCCAAGCACAGCAGGAGGGAGACTGCTCCAAGGTCCGCCTGGAGCTACAGGTGGGGCAGAGCTGTTCAGCACAGCCCGAAGCCATTTCCAGGGAAAGCAGGACTGCCCCTGTCAGCATCCTGAGACTGCAGGATGGGGTCTGAGGCCGGCAGCCTGTCTGCCTGGACTAACTGGACTCCTGGCTGGGCCTGGGAAAGCTGAACTCCCCAGGGAAGGACTTGATCCTCATCCACTGACTCTGTGCCCTGCCTCCCTCCCCTCCCCACCAGCCCTCCTCCCTTCCTGGGCCCTCAGGGTTTGGGTTGGCCCTCAGGCTGGGTCTGGCAGTCAGGGATTATGCCTGCACCACCTCTTCTTGGCTTGTGGCCTAGGGAAGGAGGGTAAGTCCCACTGAGCCCAGCCATCCTTGTGGAGCACAGTGGAGACAAGAGAGTGAAGCCAGCTGTGACCCCAGGAGGACTGGACAGCAGTGAATCAGAGGGGCCCACACATACCTGAGGTACTGGGGCTGCACATGTCTCCTGCAGCAGTACAGCCACTAGGATGGTGACCAGGAGGCTAGGGTAGGACCAGAGGGGAATGTGAGATGAGGAAGGCTCATCAATATCACTGTCCCCATCTTCCAGGCTGGAGCCCCCACATAGGCAGCTTCTGAAGCCAACAATATGCTGCTCAGGGAGGCCAGGGCTGGGCTCCTGGATGGGACCACAGGTAATTTATCAGACTCATCTCACAGGCCAGGCAGAGGTGAGACACCTCACACCCACATCTTCTCCCAGTACCTTGGGCTAGGGCCCACACCCCTGCTTGTGGCTCCTGCACCCTCATTCTGAGCAGACCCTCCTGCAGCAGATGCTGATGGTCAGTGCTGGGGACTCCAGAGGCTTCCTGGGCCCTCAGGGTTTGGGTTGGCCCTCAGGCTGGGTCTGGCAGTCAGGGATTATGCCTGCACCACCTCTTCTTGGCTTGTGGCCTAGGGAAGGAGGGTAAGTCCCACTGAGCCCAGCCATCCTTGTGGAGCACAGTGGAGACAAGAGAGTGAAGCCAGCTGTGACCCCAGGAGGACTGGACAGCAGTGAATCAGAGGGGCCCACACATACCTGAGGTACTGGGGCTGCACATGTCTCCTGCAGCAGTACAGCCACTAGGATGGTGACCAGGAGGCTAGGGTAGGACCAGAGGGGAATGTGAGATGAGGAAGGCTCATCAATATCACTGTCCCCATCTTCCAGGCTGGAGCCCCCACATAGGCAGCTTCTGAAGCCAACAATATGCTGCTCAGGGAGGCCAGGGCTGGGCTCCTGGATGGGACCACAGGTAATTTATCAGACTCATCTCACAGGCCAGGCAGAGGTGAGACACCTCACACCCACATCTTCTCCCAGTACCTTGGGCTAGGGCCCACACCCCTGCTTGTGGCTCCTGCACCCTCATTCTGAGCAGACCCTCCTGCAGCAGATGCTGATGGTCAGTGCTGGGGACTCCAGAGGCCCTGGCTCACCTCTACACTGACCTCCACACCAGGAGTGGTGTGGGCTCACGGAACACCATGATAGCTGCAACCATACAATCAGGACTGAGTGATCAGGAGGCAGGAAGTGCGGGAGGAGGCAGGAAGGAGGGCCAGCCAGCCCATGTGCTGTGCATCCATGTGCATCTGTGTTATATTGTGGTGTGGTGTTTGTGTGTGGTGTACGTTTAGGTAGTGTGCATGTATGAATGTGTGTTGTGTATGTATGGCATGTGGTGTGGCTGTGGTATGTATATGTGGTCTTTATGTAAGTGTGCATGTGGTATGCATGTATAAATGTGTGATCTGGGGGGTGTAGTATGTGGATATGTGTGTGTAGTATCTGTGGTATGTGTATGTGGCATGGGTGTTGTGTGTGTGTGATGTAGTATGTGTGATTGTTGTATGGTAGATGTACATGTAATATACAAGTGTGAGTGTGTATGTGTAGTGTGTGTGTGGTGTCCATGGGCATGTAGTGTGTGAATGTGTGGTGTGCTATATGTGTGCACACATGTGACTCTTTTAGGCTCTGCTAGGGAGGTTTCTGGGGGGTGTGATAGGAAAGGTGAATCAGCAAGGGCCAGGTCAAGTCTGCCTACTAGAAGCCCTGTAGGCCCTGGTTGTAGCCCCACAGAGACCTTCACTCGTTCTCTGTGACTCAGCTCTTGAGGGGTCTAGGTGGGCTTGCTGCCTTGCTTCCCCTCAGGACCACCAAACCAAGGCTGGTTCTAATGCACACAGGACCTTTGTCCACAGGTCTGCAATCCTCACCACCACACTGCCTAGGACACCCTTGTAGGACAGCCCCCCCCCCCATGACTATAGCCTAGGACCCCACACCGCGAGGCATGGGGATGGCGGAGGTTAGTGCTTAACCTGGTTATGGGTCTCCCTAGCTGGCATTACTAGAAGAACCCCCAGGAAAGGAGAGGCAGGGAGAGAAGGGAGACCCCCAGTGCAGGGGGGGAGAGAAGGGGCCCCACAGGAGGAAAGCCCAACTCCCAGGATGACATCCCAGCACTCCCCCAGCTCCTGCCCAGCCCTTGCCCCTAGTCATTTCTTATCTTCTCACCACCTCCTTCGTTTGGGAGCCTGGTACCTCCCCTTTCTTCTCCCAGGGGGCTCCTGGGTGATTTTTCCCCTGGGTCAGGGGTCCCTAAGACACAACACACTGTCTTATATCCATGGGGTCACAGCGGCTTTCCTCCTAGGTGGAGCCTGGACACAGAGGGCCCTTAGGGCAGGAAAGTCCTGCCCATCCCCCACACACCCAAGAAGAACTGTGCATTCTTGGGGACTGCTACCAAAACACTGGTCTGATCCCTACAGTCTGTGGACAGTGGGCCTTTTCCTTTGCCCTTCCACCTGGATTCTTCCCGAGCCAGGGCCTGGGGAACAGAGAAACTCCCAGGGGCTGGCCTCTGTACTGGGGCCTGGAGCCAAGACTATACAGCCAGGCCCACTCTGGCTAATAGCCTAGCCACCAGGTTTGGGTGAGTACAGGGTGGGAATTAGAGTCCGGGCAGTGGATATTACCTTCTCATGTCTGGGATCCTCATCTCAGTGTAGATGTTGTCCTGTGTGTCCAGGTTTTGGCCCTGTTCCTCCTGCTCAGGCTGCTTGGAGTTTTATTGCCTGCACATGGGTGTGTCTGGACAGAGGTCGGGGGCCTAAGGCTACAGCTGCCCTGCCCCACAGGGGCCTAGGGCTGCAGCCGCCCTGCCCTACCCCAGCCTGCATGCTGAGCGGGGCAACCAAGCGTCTCCCTTCCCATTCCACCACCTTACGAACCTCCCAGCCACCTACTGGCCGCATCCCCACCGGCCTGTCACACTGTGACCTCCTTACTGCCCACTTAACACCAGACCTGACTAGAGATCTGCTTTCCTGAAACCCCCACACAAAGAACCCTCACCTTCCACCCTAGTGCCACCGGCCTCCTGGTGGCTCAGCCATTAGCCAGAGTGGCTCCCCTCCCAAA